GGCTTTCTCACACTGCTGGGAGGGGAGGGAAGTTATGGGGAGCCATGAGAGCAGAGGGGGGGATAGGCCTGGAAGAACTGAGGAGGCAGAGGAGGCACTGACGGTGGCCGGGGCTGTGCTATCTGTTCTGAACCTTCATGGTGCTGTTTGTTCTCCTCTTCCACCACATCGGTGTTCTCTTGGCTGCACCTCACAGTGACTTCCTAATAGCGGTGTTCCCTTCCCTCCTAACAGCTTGCTCGGTCCTCTCATATTTACAGCTGTCAAGGCTAACGCCAGCTTCTTTTCCAAGTGTAGGGCTCATCTTCAATTTTAGGTGTGGTATCCAAGTGTATCGGGATAAAAACGGGGTGTTGTATTTCAGACCACGTTTCAAGTAGTTTGGTCTTTTATCAATGAAGCATGAAATTAAAGATTTGCTCTTAATGGTCTTGTGATCTTTGGGAATGTGCTTCAATTCTAATGCTAGCTTTTCCTTCCCTCCCTTTCTTTATCATATTATTAGAATTATTCACAAAGATTATAATTGTGCTTGTTGTGGATTACTGCTAAAATTTTGTGTTCCCTGAGAAGAAATATGTTGTGGGAGTTTTGGATCTGAGCATCCCTTTAAAGCAGCAAACTCGACAGAACCTTTGTCAGGTTTGAGAGTTAAAAATAAATTTCTTAAACACAACCCCAACAATAATCCAAAGAGAAAAGCTCACTAATAACTTAGCTTTTGGGAATGAGGCTTTGTAATCCACACCAAATATCTTATGAGTCATGACAGAATTATGATGATGAGCAACTCTCTCCTCAAAGAGGATTTCTTGAGAGACAACAGAAAGGAATGAAAATGTATGTATATATATGGAACATATACATAAAAATGTAAAGGTTTCTCTACTTACATGCAGACATACACACATGCTGTGTTATGATCCCTCACTTTGGGGCCCGTCGCTAAACATTTTGCATAACAGAAGTACTCGGTGAGTTGCTTCCAGTGTCCTAGGTGTGGAAGAATATTCAGCATAAGCAGAGCTGCCCGTCAAGTGACTGCAGCAGCCTTAAATATTGCTCCTACTCCTCTAGAGGCAGCAGCCTTCCCAGCTCTGGCACAGTGAAGTGCGTGAGTTCTTAGATGGCTTAGTAGGAAGAATTTGTTGCAGAGTGCACTTTGAGCTAAGATCACTTTTTGTCAACAAAGCTGAATGGGCATAATTTTCCGTACGAGAGGTTGTGACGGATACCTTGGGTGGTAATCACAGTGCAGCAGCTGCTCCAGCACCGCGCATCTGCCTGTGGCTGGTTTTTCGACAGAAGTGAGCTTGGATTTTACTCACCTCCTGCAGGTAGTAGTACCAGTACCAGACAGTACCAGTGCCAGCCAGAACAAGTAACCTCTCACGTCATAACTCGGCTGGTATTTGTGCTTTTCATTGTTGGGACAAAATCTGAACCTTTCATTCTTCAGTCTCTTGAATTAAGATACTCATCTTGAAGAAAATCTGTAGTTCAGCAGAAAATAGACCCATGTGCATCTTGTGGTTTCCAAACACCACATTTTATTTGGAGAATTTTTTTGACATATTGATAGCTGTGCCAGAAGCCAAGCTTATAGGAGCCATTCAATGTGGAAATAAGTAAACATTTTCTCTGAAAACTGCTTGGGATTTTGTGGTTCACAGAAGCTTTCTCAATGCAGCATGACAAATAACAAACATCTACAGAATATGCAGCGCTGGCTGTGTTTGTGCTTGTAGAGTGTGAGGTGGCTTGGGAGCATGAGTTAGACTGGCTTGTTTTTAAAAAGGTGCAAACACATGTTTCGTTCTTTCATATAACTTCCCTGGGCTTTGTACATGAGGACCGATTTCACAGCTTGTGAAAGAAAGAGGAGAACTGAGACTGAAATCCCCAAGAGCAGTCAGCATAAGTACGGTAATAGGGTTCTCACTCTAATGCTTCCATGTATTAAAGCAGATTTGAATTTACTGTGACACCTGTTGATAAGTTGCATTGTCCTTATAGTGCCAGTGCGGAAACTGCCTGACAGTGACTATTTGAAGATGTAACCGGGCTTCTTGGCTTCCCAGTTCTGGATTTTACACTGTCCTCCCTGTTGTTAAAGCTGTGAATACAACTGCATAGAGTCTTAAATGATATAAGAGCAAATGTGCTCCTTCTTGCAAGCCAGATAATGCACAACCTCTCCACTCTTCTTCAGTGGACGGTCCAGCCAGAACTTGACTGCTAGATTTTTTTTTAAAATTTTTTCACCCAAAGCAGGGTACGTAACAATTGATCTTCTAGTGCTGTGGTTGTCCCTGCTATTCTAAGAGTGAACACCTACTGCATCTCTTTCCTATGAATTTAGCACTTGTGGTTCAAGGGCAGAAGTATATTCAATACAATACCGAAAAAATTTTACTTCCTTCACCTTCCTCGGACATTCTTGTTCAAATATCAGTGTAACTTCTTTTTGATTATTTAGTCAATGGATTTTTTTCCTTGTACTTTCTGTACTCCCTTCCCATTGTAAAATAGAACTGTACCTTTTTCCCCCCTCATTGGCACAGCAGGCATAAGGAGATAGTCTTTGGATAGTAACAATTTTAAATGCAATTTAGCTTGGTTTTTAAGTTTTGAATTGGATTCAAGTCTGTATGCATGTGCAACTTGGGTAAAAATTGTAAGATAAAAAATAAAGGCATGATTCACCTTTTTCAATAAAGACTAAAATTTAGAGTATGCTTAAACTATGCAAGTCCTCATACACACAAAAAGTACACAAAGCTCCTGCTTAATAAAGTGTAATAAGTTATCACTAAAAAAGAACTAACCTTTTTTGGGGAAAAGTAGATGAAGTATAAAATGAGAAGCATCATTGTAACCATATCTTTACATAACCAATTTTAAACTTGTCTAATTTATTTTACTTTGAAAGCCAGTTTTATGGCATTGAAAATCACTAGTTCAGAACAGTGAGAAATCAGGCCTTAATAGCTGAGGAAAAAGTTAATTTTAAAAAGGGAACTCATCTTTGAGGGAAATGCTAATGCAGCTGTTCCTCATAGTAAAATAAAAGTACGAACAAATGTCTGTCTGTTCCCTTTGCCTTTCATACCTTTTGAGATACTCAGTAAGCACAAGTAAATATTCCCCCCCTGCCCCGACTGTTCCAAAGAATAAGAGTATGAATTTATGGTTAGTTAACTTGAGCTGTCTCAAAATATTTTACTTGTACGTTGTCTCACCATTATGGGTAACTCTTATAGAAAACCTCTGCAGAGATTTCTGCTTGAGGTTTGGATGACAACCTCTGGTTGCCAATATTTTGATTATCAGTTTAATAATAAAAAAAAGTTCTGTTTATTTGTCACGTTACTGAAAAGTTATTTCTCTGAAAAGTGTGTGTGGGGGGAAGTAAATAAATAAAAAAAAAGTCTTGGAGCCGATGGGAAGAAGTTTGACAGGCTGTGGAACTATCTGAGGCTATACCTCGCCGCCCATTCACAGCTGTTATTGTAGTTGCTTGTGACTCTGTGCATAACAGACAAGCAGTATCCTGTAAACAGCATTAAAGTTTTCTTGGGCTTTTTTAATGCCATTTCGTGGTGGGAGTATTTTCACTCTAACCCAGTATGGTAACTGTTCTGGTTCGTGGCGTAACCAGCATTTGGTACGTGTTACATTTCTAACACAATTCTGTGTTGCTGGGAGTGTACATACCTGTGCGTTTGTCTTGAGTATGCTTCATTTATTACAGGGCCTAATTGTGGGTAAAGCTTTTTAGTTAATGACTCCATGGGTTTTCAGTTAAATCATTTTTACAGAAGAAATGCTGCACAAGGATACTTTACTTTAGGATCAGTTGAGTATAACTGTTGCTTCATAGGGTAGAAAACTTAAAAAATGCACACTGCGTTTTCCGTATCTGTCTCGGGCACCTAAATAATACATATAAAGGAGTTTCATGGAGTTCCGTGGTGTAGAATTGTTGATTCAGTTTATAGCTGTTCATCTAGGTTATTTACATTTCCAAATCGTGTTTGAAATGATGGATCTGGAAGAGGTGCATTTATGTGCTCGTGAATGACCCAGAATAACTCGGTGATACGTTCTCAGTCGTTGGGTGCAGTGAGAACTCTTGTGAACTGAACTCCGAAGTAGCCATCGGACTGTAGGCAGTGACTTGCTTTGAACCATCAGCAAACATAGAGAAGCAGGTTGAACGTGAGGCTGTCGACTTCACTTCTTGTGTCTTGGCTGCTGAAGCTCTGTCAGGTGAGCTGCGTGTGGTGGCCTTCGCTGTTTCACAATAGAGAAGTCGCAAAAAAATCTCTTAGTGGTTGTACAGCTGCACAGGATCTGCCACAGTTATATCCAAGAGCTTTCTGTGTAAAATGTATTTGCACTAGCCATTTTGTTAGTGGAGACGGCTTTCTTTGGAGCATCTGCATGAGTTTACAGACGAGTTTGAGGCAAAAAAAAAAAAAAGTTGCAGGTAAATGGAAGTAAAGGATCTTACATAATAAGGATTGACACTTTTGGGAAGACTTTATAGGCTGTTCTGCGGATGGCGGTACTAAATTAGTCTCTTTTTCTTTGGAACTCAGTTGCACAGTTTGAATTCTGAGAACAGGTTTGTCTTTGATTCTTACATGATTCATTGTACGTGCTGTCAGCCCCTTCATTCTAAATGAGTACAGTTTCCATGGAAGTTCATGAATTATTTCTTTGTTTGAACAAACTTGTGTCCTTTTGTTCTGGTCTTCAGAATGTGTATCTTAATGTTTTTATGGTGGTTTTGTTTACTGACATAACTTTATTCCGTGATGTTAAAATCTCCAAACGCTTAATGTAACTTTTTCAAAAGGTTCTGAAAAGGTTGGGTTATAGTTCATCTCTTTTAGGAAAAAACATTATTTCTTTTCTCTTACAGAACATGAATACATTTTTGATTAAACCCTTTTTTGTCTTCCCTCTGTTCAACAGAATCTGTCTATGACCTTCTCCCAAAGGAGCTGCAGTTACCACCTTCCAGAGAAACATCTGTAGCATCCATGAGCCAAACAAGCGGTGGCGAGGCAGGTTCGCCGCCTCCAGCTGTAGTTGCTGCTGGTAAGCATTCTCATTTATTCAGTTGCTTTGTTAAGGTTTGTAACATTCTGGCCAACATGAACAGTGCTGGCAAAGTTTTGACTGTAAAAAAAGAGCTTGTGGAGAAGTAACAGAGTTCATTCTAGGAGAATTTAGGTAATAGAAATTAAACTAAACTGGGTGATCTAAATTATCAGGTATTCTATGTTAATGGTTGCTGTATTTTATATATATAAATCTTCGTAAGAAATAAGTTCTCTGTTTTGCTATTCTGTTATTATGCAGCACAAGCCTGTTAACTCCTAGAATGCACTCTGCCTTCAGAGGTAACAAATACCAATTTGGAACTAAGGCACAATGCTGACCGGCTGTAAAACAGTGAATTCTAGCTAGGATAAAAAAGTGGAATTGGAGATTGCATTTTGGGCCATGAAGCTTTTACCAAACTGTTAAGGACGAGGAAAGGTCATGTTTTCCTTTAAGAGACCTGAGAAAGCTTAGTATTTAAACTCCATTCACACGTAGCTCTCTATTGTAACGTATTCCAAAATTCTCAGATGCATGAGAATGTAATATATGTCAGGATGGCACTTTTATAAACTGATAAGTTTAAATTAGTTACTTTTCTAATTGACAGCATATAAAAATGAGGCATGACCTTTTTATCTTCATCTTTATCTTACTCCCAGTCATGTTTTAGACTTTAGTCTAAGGACTCTGTCATTGATCTTCATTAAACGTAAAAAAGTGAGGGTTTAAGGGCAAAGTTCTGATTTGTGAGGTTAGTCTTAGTGCTGGTTTGCATCTGGAATTCTTGTCAGTAACTTGTATATATTAGTAAACATCTGTGCAGTGAGGAAAAAAGGGAAAATGATCATGCTCATGATTGATGCATCTTTCTTCATTGGATAAGCGGGGTTTTTTGCATAATTTGATCCCCATATTTCTTACAAGGTCATGTTCCACTTTCCTAATTGGCCTTAAAATGTTGCTTGAGAAAAATGTATATATTTAAGGTGAGGATTCAGGTAGCTGCATTATTCTTTTTTTCTCTCTGTGAGTTCATATGCATTAAATGTTTGTGAGAATGTTTCCCAGATTTGCATGGTACAGGAATCCTGATCAGAAACCGAAGTGATTGTAGACTTGTCAGAGAAACTTTACAGCACTGCTCACCATTCATGTTTTGCCAGACCTCTTCTGAGAGAACCTGTGGATTTAACTGTGCACAGCGGAACTTCAGTCACTGAAAGAATTTGATGTTTTTATTTATTCTATTGAAAGGATTTGATATTTTTATATCACCCATTCAAAAAATAATTTGGGCATATATTTCTAAAATCAAGATACTTAATGATCGATTTGGTTCAAAGACATAGCAGCAACCAAATCCTGCAGAAACATGTATCTTAAAAACAAGTGAACAAAAAAAATCCCACAAACCCTGTTACACTCTAAATCCACAGATAGACGTGAACTGCTAATTAATTCTGTATCTAACAGAAAAGACTTAAAAACTTGAATGGAACTAAATGTCTGTTACCTCCAGGTATTTAGTGTCTGCTAACAGCCAGTCCAGTTCCTTTTAAAAAAACTAAGAATGTTAGCTGTGTTTGGGTTAAACTGCAGCACAATTTTCTTGAATGAAAAACTTCAAAAAATAGTGTTGAGATTTTTTTGTTAACACTGAAGGGAGACCTACTCGTTCAAATAACACTTTTCAGTGTCGGAGTTAATGTAGTTTCACAAAGAGTTTAAGCCGATACCGCTGCCGACAAAAGAGCTTTTCACGTGCGTGCTGCAGAGTGCATTGGATCAAGGACCTGCTCCAGGTTAGAGTTGTCCCGGGTGGGTCCACTGCGGGTCTGCACAAATGCTTTTGGTGGCACAAGGAAAGGAGTAATGTGGGGAGGAAGGAGCAGTCAGAAGAGGCGGACCTCGCTTCTCTCAACGGCCGGCAGTTTGTGCTGGTTTAAGTTGCCGCTGAACTGTGGCTTTGGAGACCTTCCATCAGTGTTGTGACGAGACAGTTAAGTTTCTGGGTGCTGTTAAAATCAGGATTAGAAGTATTAAGCACAAGCAACTGCAGTTCTCCAAGTTTTTAAAAATTTTCTTTAAAAAAACCTAACCAACCAAACAAAACCCCCCAATCAGAGCAGAGACTAGCTTTGTTTTCATTGCTTATGTCACTTTCCACTACAGCAAGGGCAAGAACAATCGAATCTTGGTCTTTTATAAACACATAATTGTGATGACCAGGATCATTCAACAGCGAGTTGTGCTGTGTACACATGTAAGGAGAGGTGAGCCCCAGCCCAGAGCAATGTAGCTGGTGCTGTTACAGGGGAGTGGGTGCCTAACTCCCGTCGGACTCGGGGAAGGCTCAACCTCAGCATTTGAATTGAGGCCAATGAATGATATCAGATAGATAGGTTTAGTGTAATGTCTTAGTGGGGTTTTTGGTTGTTTTTTCTCCTGTCCTCCGCCACATCCTTGAAAGAAAACACATGCATCTTAGATAAATGTTTACCTGCAAAACAGGTCCATAGGCTGTGTTCCAAAAATATAGAGACAGAGCAGAAAGCTGAAAGGAACAGTCCCTGCTCCTCCTTCTGGTGTTGGGAGATAAGATAGACATATATATATATAGATATATAATACCCCAAGGGTGGACAGATAGTTGGGTATTTCTGGTAAGTCTGAGGCCAGACTTTTTTTCTTTTCAAAGCTGGGGACAAACTCTTAGGAACAGAGGAAGGAACATGAATGTCTACGAAAGTTGTAGGTGGGTGTATGAGGAGAGGTGAACTTACTCTTTGCAGTGGATTGTTTTGTAGTCA